AACAGTGCCACCAGATTTTCTGTGCTCCAATTTTAGTGAATCTCCCCCAATGGCTATTCTCCACCAGGACAAAACAGACCTGTCCAAAGATATAGCAATGGTTTTGCCAAATATCACAACAAAAATGACTTGAAAGCTTAACTAAAAGGCAACATTTTTTTTACATTTTGGATACAGTAATGGAGGGTTAGAACTGCCTGAGGTTCTTGAAAGTGTCACTCTGGTATCCAGCTGCCAAACCTTCAAATGCATGGAAGCTCAAGTTCCACACCTTTGTAAGAATACTTGTCTATTCCTAATCCCATTCTGTCTTGCACAAAGTTTCACCAAAGATATCTCCTAAGATATTTGTAAAAACGTAAAGTATTCCCACTATTTAACACGTGTTCTAACAAGGAATCAGACCATTGCATGTACATTGTATTATGTATGGAGTGATTGGGAGGTTTATGTAGCAAATGATGTATACGCTCATTGGCCTCTGTAAAGGAAAATTGTAAATTCTGTATAAAATTGTATTCTATTTTGTATGCTTTGCCTATGTATTGTACACTGCACTCCTTGTACACACGGCACTAATGTTTTCATTACGTTTGCATTCCTTCAAGTCCTGATTAGAAATTAGCCTGCCTATGTAACGCCCCTTGTTACCATAAAAGTCCAATTGTAATAGTAATGTGATTCCTACGTAATCATATGTATAAAAAACTTCAAACGCGCCAAATAAACAGAACAGTGATTTGGAAAGATGCTGAGTGTATCTTTTTGTGTCTGTTCCCCACTGCACTAGTTATTATTAATTTGGAACCACTGATCAGTATGAGAGGAGTTGCCTATCTACAACATTTTCAGTATTAATGTCCAGAACAGCCACTTTATTATGTACACTTTGCTAGTACCAGGTTTGACCCCCTTTTACCTTCAGAAATGCCTTAATTCTTCATGGCATAGATTCAGCAAGGTGTTGGAAATATTCCTCAGAGATTTTGGTCCATATTGACATGATGGCATCACGCAGTTGCTGCAAGTTTGTCGGCTGCACATCCATGATGTGAATCTCCCATTCCACCACATCCCAAAGGGGCTCTATTGGATAGAGATCTGGTGACTGTGGAGGCCATTGGAGTACAGAGAACTCATCGTCATGTTCAAGGGACCAGTTAGAGATGATTTGAGCTTTGTGACATGGTACATTATCCTGCTGATAGTAGCCATCAGAAGATGGGGACACTAGTCATGGACATGGTCAGCAACAATACTCAGGTAGACCGTGGCATTTAAACGATGCTCAATTGGTAATAAGGGGCCCAAAACATGCCACGAAAACATCCCCCACACCATTACACCACTACCACCAGCCTGAACCGTTGATACAAGGCAGGATGGATCCATGCTTTCATGTTTACGCCAAATTCTGACCCTACCATCTGAATGTCACATCTGAAATCGACTCAACAGAGCAGACAAAATTTTTACAATCTTCTATTGTCCAATTTTGGCGAGCCTGTGCGAATTGTAGCCTCCGTTTCCTGTTCTTAGCTATCAGGAGTGGCACCCAGTGTGGCCTTCTGCTGCTGTAGCCCATCTGCTTCAAGGTTCGACGTGTTGTGCATTCAAAGATGTTATTCTGCATACCTTGGTTGTAACGAATGGTTATTTGAGTTACTGTTACCTTGCTATCATTTAGAATCAGTCTGCCCATTCTCCTCTGACCTCTGACATCAACAAGGCATCTTCATCCACACAACTGGATAATTTCTCTTTTTTGGACCATTCTCTGTAAACCCTAGAGATAGTTATGTGTGATAATCCCAGCAGATCAGCAGTTCTTGAAATACTCAGACCAGCCCATCTGGCACCAACAACCACGCCACGTTCCCTTTCTTCCCCATTTTGATGCTTGGTTTGAACTTCAGCAAGTCGTCTTCACCACGTCTAGATACCTAAATGCAGTGAGCTGCTGCCATGTGATTGGCTGATTAGCAATTTGTGTTGCAAAGCAATTGAACAGGTGTACCTAATAAAGTGGCCGGTGAATGCTTGTATATACATAAAAAACTCTCAGAAAATCTGAGGAAATAACAGGAGAAAATAAATATATTTCACTAAATGTAACATTTCTGTGTTCCTATCCATCTTTTGGCTTCTATGCAATACTGTTGAGAGACTACTGATCCAAAAAGGTAGATACTTCTCCCAATTGGCTATTATATTTTTACATTCCTTCAATATTGCATGCCTGGACCACTACTGGACTTTAATGCATGCTTTTATTTTCCTTAGTGAATGGAATTTATTGCCATTTTATGCAGTAATGCACTTTTTTATTGTATCATGGTTGGCAAATCTATTACAGTTTTCCACAAGGTTGACTGTATTTGTGATGTTGGATACCATAGGGGACATTATCACAGGTGGCAAAAACTGTTGTCTGACTTTATTTTACAGTCTGTCATCGCTAGAATTCTCTATTCATCTTATTATCATCCTCCTACAAGCAGTCCTGTCTTCCTGTCTCTTCTTCTATTCCTGTATCCATATGGCACCTACTCAGCACCCCATGGCATCCCTGTGCCTGACACCGCACCCTGTGCCACCCAGCATCCTCATGGCATCCCTGTGCCCGACACTGCACCCTGAGTCACCCAACACCCTAATGGCATCCCTGTGCCTGACACCGCACCCTGTGCCACCCAGACCCTCATGGCATCCCTGTGCCTGACACCGCACCCTGTGCCACCCAGACCCTCATGGCATCCCTGTGCCTGACACCGCACCCTGTGCCACCCAGCACCCTCATGGCATCCCTGTGCCTGACACCGCACCCTGTGTCACCCAGACCCTCATGGCATCCCTGTGCCTGACACTGCACCCTGTGTCACCCAAGACCCCCCATGGCATCCCTGTGTCTGACACCGCACCCTGTGCCACCCAGCACCCTCATGGCATTCCTGTGCCTGACACTGCACCCTGTGTCACCCAAGACCCTCATGGCATCCCTATGTCACCCAGCACCCCCATGGCATCCCTGTGCCTGACACCGCACCCTGTGTCACCCAGCACCCCCATGGCATCCCTGTGCCTGACACCACACCCTGTGTCACCCAGCACCCCCATGGCATCCCTGTGCCTGACACAGCACCCTGTGCCACCCAGACCCTCATGCCTGACACCACACCCTGTGTCACATAGCACCCCCATGCCTGACACCACACCCTGTGTCACATAGCACCCCCATGCCTGACACCACACCCTGTGTCACCCAGCATCCCCATGCCTGACACCACACCCTGTGTCACCCAGCATCCCCATGCCTGACACCACACCCTGTGTCACCCAGCATCCCCATGCCTGACACCACACCCTGTGTCACATAGCACCCCCATGCCTGACACCACACCCTGTGTCACCCAGCATCCCCATGCCTGACACCACACCCTGTGTCACCCAGCATCCCCATGCCTGACACCACACCCTGTGTCACCCAGCATCCCCATGCCTGACACCACACCCTGTGTCACCCAGCATCCCCATGCCTGACACCACACCCTGTGTCACCCAGCATCCCCATGGCATCCCTGCAAGACCAGATTAAGCACATCATAGGCCTGGTGCTGAGGATTTTGGAAGGTCTTTTTATGGAAATAAATTTTATATCCTATCAGTTTGTTGTTAAAACAAATTAATGGAGAATTCCAGGAGAAAAAATTCCCATGGGGGGGGGGCTGTCCACACTGCATGGGTTAATTGCTAGTTTTTGTCTAGGGGTGAGAGCGGAGATATACTTACCTAACCCACAGATCCTCTCAGAGCAAGACGCGTCCCTGCTGCTCCTGCCCCACCCCCGCGGTCTATTGGTCTCCTGCAGAGGACAGTTCCTGACGTCATCACGCCAATAGACTGACTTCGGACGTGAGGACAACATGCAGTCCACCACTGCACTGAGACAGAGGGGGGGGGGCAGAGGGGGGCGACAGTGAAAGGGGGGAAGAGAAAAAGAGAGGAGGGATAGTGGGGGGTGGGGCGTTCAGTATGTCTTGTCTTGTGAGCTTCTACTGACCAATGATCAGTCCGCCCCGCACCACCATCAGCCATCGCCCCACTACTCAGCACACCCCGCCCACACAGTGCAGCTTGTGGTGGAGAGGGCGGAGCCCTACACTCCAGTCATCAGCCTCGCTACCCAGATAGCTTATCAGAAAACTGCAAAGTAGAATCCCCGCCCATATTCTCTCCCATGTGTAACGCTCGGTTTCTAAGACTGGTGGGCGTGGTTTGCCGCTACAATGACAGAGGGGGTGCATAGCTGGGTGTTTACGGGACACGCATGGTCTAACTGGGCAAATAGTGCGCATGTGTGGCGCCCCATGATCGCCTGAACTGTACTTGCACTGCGTCCCGGTAGCGCCAAACTTCCGCCCGCCCTGTGCCTTATTAGTGTTTAATTTTCCCTCCAGCGTCTCAAGCCGTAGCTGACCAACCCCGCCCACCACCTCTAGAGCACCGCCCCAAAGGACTTTTTGCGAATAAGGAAGCGGCAAGGACTCTCCGCCCATTAGCAATTTTAGGGGCAGTGCTCCGTTGTGAAAGTGGTGCAGCTACAGGGGGACTGGGCGCTGGAGGCGTCAAAGCGACGCCAGCTGAGCCCTGCTAGGCTGGTGCAGACATGATTATGCCTCTAGCAGCACCTCCGCTGTAGAAGCAGAGCACTGCCCGGAACATAATGGGAATGTCAATGAGACAGCTCCAATAGCAGCCCCCACGTTAATCCAGCCCTGTGTCACCCAGCACCCCCATGGAAGTCCGTCTGACGCGACTATCCCCCCCAATACTCGTTCTTCCAGCACGTGACAGTACACTTTCCCCAGGCCTCAGTTGACTCCCTGTACGCCCCGCCCACATTATACTGCTACACCGGACGTCATATCCGAGACTTCCGAGGGGGAAGAGCCGCTAGTACCGTAGCCCAGACTGCACTCCTCTCATAGATTTGGCGCGGCATGAGTGACGCAGAGTTCTGTCCTTCAGCGCTGGGGACCAAGGAGCAGTGAGTAGGCTGTAATACAGCACGGCCGCCATATTGGTACACCCTCAGACTCTGTTGCCCTGTGAAGACACTGTCATTCAGAGGTGTTACATACGCCATATTGGTACACCCACTGATTCCTCCAGCTGCCATGTGAGGCCACAGATGTGTTACACTAAATTGTTCACAAAATAAAAGAGGAATAAAAACTAAGTGTGTGAATAGCCATAATGTGTCAGTTTTGGGGAGTGTGAGAAGGGTTAGTTGATTTTTTTTCTCTATATATCCTGATGGGGTAATTTCCCTGTACTTCCTGTCCCCCAGCTGTAACAGGAAATGAGAGAAAATCTGTACACCTTAAGGGGAATTCACGGGTTAGATTTTTAGACATAGCATGTCTCTTCTGCAATAAACAGCCTGCCTGCTTGCAATAACAAAAAAAAAAAAACAAAACAACCCCCCCCCCCCCTCCACATACTTGCTGCACATGAGAACATAATCACACATATGGGTGGTGCCTATGTGTGGCTGCAGGGTGGGGAACACTACCGCTGCCTTTATCTGGCTTGTATCCAAAATCACCTGAGCTTATCCCTACTGATAATCTGTAAAGACTTTTAAAATGTCACAATTATGTGTACTTAAGTTTGTCAGCATTTGACAGGTGCAGGCATTTTAGAAAATGTGTAAAAAAAAAAAAAAAAAAAAAAAAACAAATGTGCTAAAAAGCACAATGTGGTTGCAATGTCATTATTTATTAATGGCGCCTCAAATGCAGGGAGCTTTTTGTTGTACTTTTTTTTTGCACATGTCACAAAATATTTTGGCTCAGTGCCAAAATTTGTTACGTGAGCTTTGGCACATTTTGTGTAGCAGGGGAAGATCTTTCCAAAGAAATGGTGTCGCTACAAAAAATGTAAAAAAATGCGACATAGGAGCATTGCACAGGTCACACTCCATTCACTTCTTTCCAAGCCACAGCAGCAAAGCAAAGTGACAGCTGAAGCCAGAAGTGACATAACAGAGGTTGCTTCCAGCTTCTTACTAGCTAGAGGTGATCACCCAACAGATTTGTGCCAGTTGGCTTTTCTGCTACCTGATAGCACCCACCATACCAGTCCTGGATGGTCCAGGTGCATTGCCAGTGTATGCTTTTCCTCAATGCACACGTTTGGGCACTAAAGCATTAGTTGTCAGTTAAGAAATGTTCTATACAGTTATCCTATCCTAGGTATCAAGCTAATGGGTGGTGTTCTGTCTGTCTTCTTTTTTTCCCCAATAGCTGGGATGCTGTCTATAGTCGTGAACTGAAAAGTTTCCAAGAGTATGGTGATGAAGGAGAGATCTGGTGAGTGACAGAAGACTAGCCCTGTGGAATGTGATTTATGTAAAGTTGTGGTATACTGATTTTTTTTTTTTTTATCATTGGTGTAACTGGTGATCTAGTGTTCATTCCCATAGAGAGTATAGAAGGTTTAGAGCCTCTGTTGTGTTTTTACAGCTATCAGGACTATCTCTCTAATGTAGCCTGGGATAGCAGTAAAATCCTAACGGAGTTCTAATCCTTCTCCACCTATTTAACTAATACAAAAGGTCTGGGCTAGATTTACATTTTAAGGGATTATGTGGGATCAGGAAACGTTGGGCCTCTTGCACATGGGGCATCTAACCCCTGCGTGTCCAATCCCAGCATTTTAAATCACCCATGAGACACAGGCGTAGCATCCAGGCCGACAGCATGCAGCCTGTCAAAGTCTGTGGTGGGCTGAAATACACTGTTGCTGAACACTGTTTTTTAAAGCAGTGTGCATTCAAGGATGAATGCTCAGAACACAGGCATTCTGCACATGAAAACGCTGGGACTGGATGAACAGGAAGTAGGAACACTGTATGCAAGGGGCCTTAGCTTCTTACAAAGTGGAATTGTCACATGGTTGTATTTCAAATGTTTGTGTCTTCTTTAAAACAGGTTTGGAGACAGTAGCATGACTCGAGTGGTTCGATGGCTAAAAGCCCAGAAAATACCACATAGCTCATCAGTACTGGATATTGGCACTGGGAATGGCATGCTATTGGTGGAACTGGTAAGAGATATATTGCTGACAGTGATTTTCCATTAAAGAGGCGTTGGGGTTGATTTATTAAAGGCAAATAGACTCTGCACTCTGGAAGTACAGTTGTTCCAGAGCTTAGTAAATGACGGGAAGCTCTGTTAAGTTACATCATCAAATCATGCAAGCAAAAATGCTGGGTTTTTTTTTATTTTCTTTGCATATGATTGGATTGCAAAGTGAAGTTTCACTTCATTTACTAAGCTCTGGAGCAACTGCACTTGCAGAGTGCAACTGCAATGGGAAGGTGCACAGTCTATTTGCCATTAGTAAATCAACCCCCCATTGTCCCCTAAGTGACAGTGTTTCTGCAAAGGGACCATCCTGACTCTCTTATACTCACTTTACCTGCAGTTTCTCTCCACACCTTCCTCTGTCACACTGTCACTATGGTGTAAATTGATGTTCTTCACTCTGTGTTTTGATGGCAGGCAAAGGCTGGGTACAGCAATCTTATGGGTGTGGACTACTGCACTGATGCCATAGCCCTTGCTAGAAGTATATGTGAAAAAGAAGAGGTTTCTCAGTGTGTAAAACTACAGGTGAGAAATATACAGTTACAAATGAAAATATTTTCCTGCCATTTCCATTTTTGTTGCACATACACCCACACTTTTACAACCAGCTTTGATTTGTTTTATTAAAAGTAAAACCAAACTGTACTTTATACAACCGCTGGAAAAAAGTATGGAGTCACCACTCCTGGAAAATATTCATTCAATTGTTTAATTGTGTAGAAGAAAAAATAGTCACAGACAAGCCTCAAAACTATTTTCATTTAACTTTCCAACCTTCTGGCTTTAGCCACTTTGTAACCGTGCTATAGCCAAACGACGGCTACAGCGCAGATACCCAATTTTGGGAAGTCGTCATATGACATCCTCCCAGAACGCGCCCTCCCGTGTGCCCCCAGGGGTGCACACTTGGCGATCTCTATTATCGCTTTGTCCTATGGACACAGCTGATCACGTGATGAAGTAAACAGCCAATCACAGTGGCCTTTTACCACGTGATCATCTGTGTCCAATGACACAGCAGATCACGGAGTAAATACAGTTGCCAGTTATTGGCGCACTTTCTTCATGCTATCACAGCATGAGGAAAGTACTGCCGATAACCGGCAGCTGTCACAGAGGAGATCGGCACTGATCATCAGTGCCCTGCAGTGCTGCCCATCAGAGCCACCCATCAGTGCCACCCAGCAGTTGTGCTCATCAGTTCCCAGCAGTGCCGCCAGTCAGGGCTGTCAGTCAGTGCTCTCAGTCTGAGCTGCCCATCAGTGCCGCCTATCAGTGCCCATCATTGCTGCATATCAGTGCAGCATTATCAGTGCCTCCTCATCAATGCCCACCAGTGCAGCCTATCAGTGCCCATTAGTGCTGACTATCCGTGGCACCTCATCAGTGCTGCCTGTCATATTCCACTGTAACCTTGTTTTTTCTGTTTAGGTTTAATGATGGTTTTCATTCGGCTTTTCTGTATGTAAATCCCATTTCCTTTAGATGTCTTGCAGTTCGGTCACAGACATTGACTCCATTTCTGCCCATTTGTTCTTCATCTGTCTTGTTGTGCATTTTCTGTTTTCAAGGCATATTGCTTTAAGTTTTCTATCTTGATGCTTTGATGTCTTCCTTGGTCTACCAGTATGCTTCCCTTTTACAACCTTCCCATTTGATTTGTACTTGGTCCAGATTTTAGACACAGCTGACTGGGAACAACCAGCATCTTTTGCAACATTCTGTGATGATTTACCTTATTGAAGAAGTTTTATAATCCTCTCATTTGTTTCAACTGACTTCTCTGGTGCTGGAGCCATGATTCATGTCAATCAAGCTTGGTGCAACAGCTCACCAAGGTGTGCAAGCGCTCTTTTTTTTTTAACTGCAGACTAAATAGCAGATGTAATCTGATGCAGATGTTGGTTTGAGAACTGCAAAATACATGGTGATTCATTAATATTTTCCTCAGACTTAAGTGATTCCATATTTTTTTCCATCAGCTTGATCTGCAGAAACAGTTGCAACCGACTACAGCTTTCTTTCTTTTTTTGTTTTTTTAAGTGTTTCTTAAAGCCAGAAGGTTGGAATGTTAAATTAAAATAAGTTTGAGGCATGTCTGTGATTGTTTTGTTTTTTTTTTTTTCTTTTTTTTCTATGCAATTAAACAATTGAATGAATTTTTCCAAGAGTGGCGATTCCATACTTTTTTTTCCAGGGGTTGTACATTAGGAAGATTTATTTCTAAAGTCTAAAACTGTAGAGCCTTCAAAGAAAGATAGAATGTCAGTGCACTACCTGTTGTATAGAGAGTCTTATAACAACTCTGAGTTTTCCCTACACCTCTCAGTTTTCCTGTCAAGTATTCGGAAGTAGCAAGGCAAATAAATATGACAAATGATATACTTAATGCAATTTCCTGCTACCCTAGGCATGTGCATTTGAGTGCCTTTTTTAACCATCAAAAAAAGTGTGCAGCTGCACCTCCAGTAGTAGGGAGGAATAGCTTACACTTCTTTAGATCAAAAGATTTGACTGACGGTTTGACAATCTTTACGGTCTTGCATATCGCCACTTCGTCACTTATGAGTATTAAGGTGTAAGGACATAGAAGGCAGATCCGAGTGGTCACATTTAAAGCTAGCAGTGGTTTTTTTTTTACTATATGAGATCAGTGTAATTGATTCACTCTTTTTTCCATGATCTGTATCAAAAGGAATTGAATGAGACATAAAGGACCATGTGGGGTAGAAAAAGTCCCCACATGTGCCATATACAGCTTGCCTACACCATCAAGTACAACCAACTTTTAACTACATAGTAAGCTTCTATATTCTGTGCTCTTTATGGTTTCTTGTTAATATTTCCTTTTTTTCAAGATTACAAATACTGCACTGAAGTGTGCCTCTCACCTGCTCCTTTTCTTTTCTCTCCAATTGAGGGAATTTTTTTAGTTCTACATTTGTTGTCAATAGAGTCCTGGTCTCTAAGAGCCTTCTGGTATAACACTAATGTGCATAGCTGTCATGGTCTTTGAAACTTATTTTTATGGCTCCGATCCTTATTTAATGGTGGTGCTTTTCAATACTGGCATGACCCTTTTTTTAATGTCTAACCATTGTGTAAGTTTATAATTTCAACCATTAGAAACTAAGGTCACTTACACACGAACGGTCTGATCGGGTTCCCCATTCCCCTCCATGGGCAGTTGGACGTAAATGGACTTGTGTCCATTTACACCTGGTTACCTCCAATCCTGCAAAAAGAAACAGAAGGGGATCCCTTCCCCTCTGTCTGGCCAGATTGGATCGGAAGGTGGTTGGATGTGAACAGACAGCCAGACCATTAACAACCGACTGCCCATAGAGCAGAGCTGGTTGTGTCCTATCCGCTTTGCATAAGCAGAGCAGACAATGGACAGGTCATCTGGCCACTTTGCTCAGCTCAGCAGGGGATCAAGTGGACAGGGGATCAGGGGACAGATCCCCTGCTGAGTAAAACTGGACCCAGCCTATGTGAAAAGAGCCTTAAGCTGCAATTAGTTTTTGGGTTTTTTTCTATAAGCAAAGAAACCATTAGACAGGGCAGTCCACCAGTTAAGACTGAGCAGACAAAGAGGTTATAGCTAAATGTTTCTTGGGTATCAATAACACAGCCTATGTTGCTTCTGTACTGGGAGGCTTTTCTGAGTTCTCATCAGAATCAAACCTTGTGACAATGAGTGGTATAGAAGATCCCCGTTAAGTGCTCCAGTCACCAAAGGTGTGGTTATGCTTCAGGCTATAACTGCATTATTAATAATTTATTGGTTGTTGATGAGTTACTAAATTTAGAATATAAGTGCATCATAAGGTTTATTAGCTTTGAATGAAAATTCAATACAAAAATGCAGTACTTCCTGCACTGCCTGCACAGCTTTGTAAAGCTAGTGAAATGTGGAAAAGCATTACATAAATTACATTCTGGTATACAGAATGTGTCTCTGTCTCCTTCTGCTGCTGTGGCATTGAGAGAGAACCCATTGCTGACAGTGCTCCTCCCCTTGCTGTGTGATAATTAAGTCCCATCATATGTTGCCATGATGCAGCAGAAAATTGTATGCTTTCTTTTCAGCAACTGTCTTTTCCTGATGCATCTTTATGGCAGCATACATAATACACGCTCTTCTTTGCATGTGTACAAGAATGCATAGAAATATATAGGTAACCAGTTCTGTAGGTTAAGGAAGGTGGATCTTTAACCCATCATATTCTGTTATGAAGATACACCAGGAATGGAAGCATTAGAATTTGAGGGTTTGTCCACCTTTTTTGAAAAAAAAAAAATAAGGTGACTAAACTCAAAACCTTCCCCCAGCCCCCCTTATTCCCCTTTTTGGTCCCCACCGTACTTGCCTCCATAGGTGATGAGCTATGAGAGTCCACGCAGCAAGTGTAGCGGTCTAGGGATCTGAAATTCCTGCACTTATTTCTGTTCTTTCTACAGGGTTCCAGGACAGAGCAGAGCGATTCTCTGTGCTGGAGCTGACCAGTCTGAGTTTCTCTGATCCATACCAGGAGTGCTACAGAAAGAAAGCTCTTACACTGGTTGCATGGTCATTGACAGCTCATCATCTATGGAATGGAGTACAGCAGTGAATGAGGAGGTGGAGAGGGTGTTGGTGTTTTTTCTGAAAAGGTGAACTTACGTTTTGGCTCCTAAATGTAACAGGACTTAATCGTAATAGGCCAGAGTTAAAACTGACATTTCTGAACACTGTGATGACAGTAATACAGTTTGATTTTCTATAAGCGTGTTGTTTTAGGTTACAGATTTTCTGGGCTCCTTCAGTCCCTCAGAACAGTTTGACATCTGTCTGGATAAAGGCACCTTTGATGCAGTGAGTCTGGATCCCAGCAATGCACAAGAAAAATGTAGCCAGTATGAAAATGTGCTCTGTACAGTTTTAAAACCCAAAGGCCTTTTTATCATCACATCCTGCAACTGGACCAAAGAGGAGCTGCTTAGACATTTTCACAAAGGTAAAGAATCACAAGAAACCTTGGTGTGTACAGTTTTATGTATATCTCATTCTGCTGGTTTCCATGGGTCGTGTACACAAAGCACTCATGCTGTATTTGTACAGAAAAGAATGGCTGTTGTGATTACCCTAATGTAACTTTATCTGCCATTTATACATTGTTCAGTTCACAACAGCATCATATTAGACCAGACTTTTAGATCCAGAATGTTACAGCTTCAGTGTCATATATGGAATTCAAACAGAATATTCCCCACACATTCTTGGAGGTAGCTGTAAATTTAAGTGGGTGCTGCAGCGACCACCAGCTGGATACCAAAGACATTCAAAGCGAGAAGTATGTCACCAGCACATCACGGATTTTCAGAACAAGTCCAAAGCTTTATTCAGGAATCACATCATGGTTACATAAGCAACATTTCAAAGCCTTGCAGGACCCCTTCATCAGTTATGTGACCCACATGTCTGATGAAGGGGTCCTGTGAGTAACCAGAACATTGCTTATGTAATTATGATGTGCCCGCTGAAGTAAGCGTTGGACATGTTCTGGAGATTATCCCATTTACCAAGAAAACAGCATCTGGTGTGTACCCAAACACAGTGCTGAAAGGGTTTCCTTGGTATTTTGTTTAGTGCTGACTCAATAGCATAACCATTCATGCAGATTTTTTTGATCAGATGAATTTGCTGCAAACCTTCCATTCCATCTTATGCCAAAGCATTTGCATATGACAAAATCTGATCCTACTGTTTGCAGATCCCAGCAGAAATTGGAAATTGTCAGGCTAGGCCGTGTTTTGGCAATTTCCCCATCTTAGGAGTGATTTTATGCTCGCTTCAAATGCTCAGAGGATGCCATTTCCGAGCTCTCCTTTTAGAATAATCGTTCTCTGGCATTCATGTGGATGCTTTGGCTTGAATACTGCCTGAGCCACGTACCTGAAACTTTTATGACACATTACAGCATGCTTGTTTCAGATCTGTGAATGAAGAATCCCTAAATCAGACACAGCCAGTCAATTAGCTTTTTAAATGAAGGCTTGAAAGGTCAGTCTTCAGACGTCTATCATCATGGTGTCACTTTAACTGCTGCCCTCCTCATCTGCACATGCTCTTCTTTCTTTTGCTGCCCCTTTGCTTTGTCCAGCCACTGGAAGCAAAAATACAAAACTCTGTGTAAACTCCAAGCTGGCTTTAAGTGGAGATTTCACAGCAGTTAGTGATGCCTGCAGAAGGCTCACAATTTCCTGCCCCCTTATGACTGCATTGGTGCTCAAATGGCCAAGAACTAGTGCTATCACTTGAGAGAAAAGGGAGTAAATCTCCTGACCTCTCCACCTACATGGAACTGCAGGGTATTTCCAGCAGCCAATTCAAGCAGTTGGATAATGATGTGACGGTGAATATATTCACCAGGGAGGATGACGATTAAATAAAATCAGTGCCTTGTCTAGCATTGACAAAACAAAAATTCATATTATGACTGTTTAGCTTGCAGGGGTGTAACCCAGCATTGCCTTCTGCTTCTGTAGCCCATTTTCTTTAAAGTTCAGTTTGCAGTGTAGCTGTTGACTTCCTATTGGCTTGAACTGACCATTGTCACTATATGTGCATCTTCTAACCCCATTACTGTAAAGTCTGGACACAAAAGTGTATAAGGTTGTGTCAGGAGATTCCGAGATGCTTTAATTCCCAACCCCCCCCTTTCCCAGTCCACTTAACAACAGGTTGTGATCACCCAGAAGTGGTCATTTCACATTTTGGGGTCTTTCACAATCTCCCTCTCTTGCAATACTGCAGTCCCTAGGCTTACAATCCTCTATAGCAGGTACCCGGTTAGGAAGAAGACCATACGGGGGGCTGGGGGGGGGACTTCTTTGTGTGTGTTTATTTCTGTATGAAGGAGAATACTTTGGGGGCACTTGCTATGTTCCTACAAATGTAAAACAATTAAATTGCACAGGTACACTTGGAAAAAAATATAGGGACAGGCTTTTATTATCCATTTTAACCGCTAGCCTACAGGGCACTTATACCCCCTTACTGCCCAGGCCAATTTCCAGCTTTCAGCGCTGTCGCACTTTGACAATTGCGCGGTCATACAACACTATACCCATACAAAATTTTTATAATTTTTTTGTGACAGAGCTTTCTTTTGGTGGTATTTAATCACCTCTGGGTTTTTTATTTTTTCTTAAACAAACCAAAAACCACTGAAAATTTTGGAAAAAAAAGTTTTTTCTTAGTTTTTGTTATAAAATTTTGTAAATAAGTGATTTTTCTCCTTCACTGATCCACGCTAATGAGGCTGCAGTGGTGGGCACTGATAGGCTGCACTGATGGACACTGATAAGGAGGCACTGGTAGGTGGCACTGATGGGCATTGACAGGCATCACTGATGGGCATTGAAAGGCAGCACTGATAAATGGCACTGATAGGCATCACTGACTGGCACTGATTGGCAGCATTGATAGGTGGCACTGACTGGCACTGATGGGTGACACTGAAAGGCAGCTCAGATGGGCACTGATATGTGGCATTGATGTGCACTGGTAGGCATTGATGTGGCATTGATACGAGGCACTGATGAGCACTGACACAAGGCACTGATGGACACTGACAGGTGGCACTGCTGGGGCTACACTGATCATCAGGGCACACTGATCATCAGTGCCCTGATGATCAGTGTAGATGTCCCCTCCGCGGAAAGCCGATTACCGGCTCTCCTCTCGAGCTGTCAGCGTGACAGCTCGAGAGGAGAGCAATCCTTATAACCGGCATTTCCCTGTTTACATGTGATCAGCTGTGATTGGACACAGCTGATCACATGACTGAGCCGACATCTTCGGCTCTTTCCATGATCGGTGATCCGCTGTGTCCGAGGGACAGAGCGCACCGCCGATCGCCGTGCTGTGCACTCCCTGAGCCGCGCATGTGCGGTGAGAATGGGAGGATGTCATATGACGTCCTCCCAGAATAAGAGAACCACCTTGTGCCCGTCATTGGACTATATGGCGGGCAGGAGGTGGGTAAAATTCAGGTTTTATTATCTGTTTTGTTTTTGTTTTTTTCTTGTAGAGTTTGAAATGAAAAGACGAACTTCCCACACCTACCTTCAATTTTGGAGGACAGTCAGGTCACAGCGTCACGGCTCTTGTATTCCAGAGGAGGGACAACTCTTAAAGGGCACAACATATTTCTCTATGAGACATGATCAGCCACTGAGTGGCAGACTGAACCTGCACTTATTTGCTTTGGAAAGTGTGAACATGGATTTCTTATACAGCTATTTCCAGTGACTGTAGATTTTCAGTAAAGTAATCTTTTACACAACTGGCTGTATGTCTTATTCTGTATTTCACTTCGAATTATAAGATTTTAGATGGTTTATATTGGGTATCATATCTAAAAGACACAACCATGGTGTCCACATGCAGCGTTTACCATCCATCACCAGAGAGTAGGAAACCAGAACTGACATTTCTTAAAGTGAATGCCATGAGAGAAGAACAGGGCTGCCATCGCTGGCCAGAAAACTATTTGCTTAGATGTTTCTGCCTTTGTATATCTAAGTTACAGACCAGGAACAAGCTTACCGTACATAAGTGTCAGGATTCGATATCTTGATACTTTTTCTGGGTCACTGAATCCAAGACCACACGTCAAAGCTTTGGTATGACAGCCAGGAAACTAGCATTCCTAAAGGAGGATTCAGAAATAGAAATTGTTCTATCATGACAGATTCCCTTTAGTGGGCTATGATTGGGGTCAGTGACACCAATGTTGGGGGCTATTATTACAGCCACTTACGCCATTGTTGGGAGGCTATAATTGGGGTCGCAAACACCAATGGTGGGAAACTATTATTGTGTGCTCACTGACACCTATGCTGGGTGCTATTATTGAGGTCCATGATACCAATGCTGGGGGCTATCATTGGGGTCACAAACACCAATGTTAGGGATTTTTATTGTGGACACTGACACCAATGGCGGGGGTATTATTATGGTCAATGACACCAATGGTGGGGGTTATTATTGAGGTCATTGACAGCAATGTTGGGGGCTATCATTGTGATCACTGACTCCAATGGGAGGGGGGACGACTATCATTGGGGTCACAAACACCCATGTTGGGGATTTTTACTATGGTCACTGACACCAAAGTTTAGGGTTATTATTGTGGTCACTGACATTTTGGGGGGGGGGGGTTGGTTATTACTGCAGTCACTAACACCAAAAGCTATTGTTGGGGTCACTGTCACCAATGTTGGGGGTTATTTTTGTGGTCACTGAAACCAATGGGGGTTTATTACTGCAGTCACAAACACCAATGGTGGGGGCTATTATTGAGGATACTGACACCATGGCTCCAACACTGTATTCAGCATGCATTGCAGTGTGATGCAGAAATTTCCAGACATTAAGCTGCGTCATATTCATTTTGAATAGGTTGCTAAATTTATTCGAGGTACCTCAGTGCCCAAGCGTCAAGGGTCGTACTTGAGGCTCTCTATTATTTTACAGTTGACTGCCCATACACTATCATGCACATGTGTGCTCACATACACGTCTTCAGGTCCTTGTACACTTATCACAAAATGGTAGTGCAGTGCTAAAATACATTAAAATATGTGCAATACAATAGTGCAATGCAAAATATATGTGTCACCACAAATGGAAAAAATAAAGGAATCCAAATGTGAAGCCAAAAGCTGAGTTCAGTAGGTAGAGACGGAAGACACGCCGCTATGCATACATAATCCCGCTGCAGCCATCTTGGATTTTGGAATACGAGTTGTTTATATGATGTGAAGTGCCTGATTGTCATCTTTTCATTATAAGTGAATTTACCACATTAAATTGGTGTTTTAATCAGGATTGCACTATGGAGAGCCTGTCTTTTTCTTTTTCATGATTTTCATGATGTCCAACTGGGTATATATGCACAGTGATCTGATATAATGCAGCAGTATCATCGTTTGACACATGGTTTTCAGGAAAGCTGAATATTTTGGATTGATACACAAGTGCTGATTGACCACTCTTTATATGACTCTAGTAAGCCTCCCTTTGTTGTACACCGAGGTGCTGGGTGCTTCATCATTAAGAAGTTTTGGTGGCGTTTGACATCCACATCTGTCATATCCCTCATAATCAAAGAACCACTGAATTCAGTTTTTGGCTTCACATTTAGATTCCTTTATTTGTTGAATTTGTGGTGACACTTAAAGAGTTTGACATATTTGCATTGCGCTATGGTATTGCACATACATTTTAATTCATTTTAGTACTGCACTATTGTCTTGTGATGTTTATTATACTATGTATTATGGTATCGTGCTAGCTGCTATGTTTTTTTTTTTTTTTTTACATCCAATGGCATCTTAGCGCGGGTTTTTTTCGTTCTCATTCCTGGTACACTTATATTGGTCCAAATTACATCCCCTGGAATGGGATGGGTATGTTTTTTTTTTTTTGTTTTTGTTTTTGTTTTTATGGATCTGAATGCAGCAATACTATGTCCATAGATGCATTGGCTGTATTTAGATCTGTACAGAAAGCTCTGTATGGCATAGTTGCCAACTGTCACCGATTACCCGGAACAGTCCCGATATTCTGAAAGATGTCCTGCCATTGCTCAGTCCCGGCCAGTGTCCCGGAAATCTGAGATCAAGGTAGGGACAGCTGCAGATAGTAGTTCGTAATTCTGTGTGAGCCTAGGGCAGTGAATAAAAATTAAAAACTTTCCTGTTGCCATTTGCTATGCGGGAAGGGGGGCTGCGGCAGTCTTTTTCTTTATGATGTACGAAACTCCTGGCCACTTTTGTATCAATCCGCCAGATTCCCCCGACGGCATTATGTAGAAAAGGCTGGGAAATTAACTTAATTCACGGGAGCCTCTGCACTGCAGATTAGTCTGCCAGACTCGAAAATGGAAAAAATAGTCCTCAGGCTGCTACGGCCCCCCCTTCCTGCATAGCAAATGGCAACAAGAAAGTTTTAAAAATTTTTTTTTAAATGCTCTAGGCTCATGCAGAACTACGAAGCACTATCTGCGACTGTTTCCCCCCAAATCATGAGACACAGGACAAACTGGACCAGGGGATCAATCACTCCAGAGTCTTCAGCAGAGAACAGAATGGATTGGTGAACTGCATTTCTCAGTGTAAGTACCTGTCACCATACACAGATTAACACACATTTCCACGTGTTGCGCATAGGGCAGCCCATTCACTTCAATGGACTGTCCTATGTGTGCTTGTCCCCAAATAGAAGCTCCTTCTCCTTTTTGGGTGACAAGCTTTGCACAGTTTTTAAACTCAGACCCTCTCCTGTACTACGCCTGCAGCCTCCGACCCTCTCCTGTACTATGCCTGCAGTCCCTGACCATGGTCCTTGACTACGCCTGCAGTCCCTGACCATGGTCCTTGACTACGCCTGCAGTCCCTGACCATGGTCCTTGACTACGCCTGCAGTCTCTGACCATGGTCCTTGACTACGCCTGCAGTCCCTGACCTTGGTCCTTGACTACGCCTGCAGTCCCTGACCATGGTCCTTGACTACGCCTGCAGTCCCTGACCATGGTCCTTGACTACGCCTGCAGTCCCTGACCATGGTCCTTGACTACGCCTGCAGTCCCTGACCATGGTCCTTGACTACGCCCGCAGTCCCTGACCAGACTACGCCCGCAGTCCCTGACCATGGTCCTTGACTACGCCCGCAGTCCCTGACCATGGTCCTTGACTACGCCCGCAGTCCCTGACCATGGTCCTTGACTACGCCCGCAGTCCCTGACCATGGTCCTTGACTACGCCCGCAGTCCCTGACCATGGTCCTTGACTACGCCCGCAGTCCCTGACCATGGTCCTTGACTACGCCCGCAGTCCCTGACCATGGTCCTTGACTACGCCCGCAGTCCCTGACCATGGTCCTTGACTACGCCCGCAGTCCCTGACCATGGTCCTTGACTACGCCCGCAGTCCCTGACCATGGTCCTTGACTACGCCCGCAGTCCCTGACCATGGTCCTTGACTACGCCCGCAGTCCCTGACCATGGTCCTTGACTACGCCCGCAGTCCCTGACCATGACCATAGTCCTTGACTACGCCCGCAGTCCCTGACCATGGTCCTGTACATAGTACGCCCCTGCAGTCCTGACTCAGATCCCAGACCATAGTCTTTGACTACGCCCGCAGCCTCCCGACCATAGTCCTGTACTACACCCGCAGTCCCAGACCATAGTCCTTGACTACGCCCGCAGTCCCAGACCATAGTCCTTGACTACGCCCGCAGTCCGACCATAGTCCTTGACTAGCCCGCAGTCCCTGACCATAGTCCTTGACTACGCCCGCAGTCCCAGACCATAGTCCTTGACTACGCCCCAGTTGACTACGCCCGCAGTCCCTGACCATAGTCCTTGACTACGCCCGCAGTCCCTGACCATAGTCCTTGACTACGCCCGCAGTCCCTGACCATAGTCCTGTACTACGCCCGCAGTCCCTGACCATAGTCCTACTACGCCCGCAGTCCCTGACCATAGTCCTGTACTACGCCCGCAGTCCCTGACCATAGTCCTGGACTACGCCCGCAGTCCCTGACCATAGTCCTGGACTACGCCCGCAGTCCCTGACCATAGTCCTGTACTACGCCCGCAGTCCCTGACCATAGTCCTGTACTACGCCCGCAGTGACCATAGTCCTGTACTACGCCCGCAGTCCCTGACCATAGTCCTGTACTACGCCCGCAGTCCCTGACCATAGTCCTGTACTACGCCCGCCCAGTCCCTGACCATAGTCCTGGACTACGCCCGCAGTCCCTGACCATAGTCCTGGACTACGCCCGCAGTCCCTGACCATAGTCCTGTACTACGCCCGACCAGTACTCGCCCGACCATAGTCCTGTACTACGCCCGCAGTCTCAGACCATAGTCCTGTACTACGCCCGCCCGCAGTCCCTACGCCCGCAGAGACCATAGTCCTGTACTACGCCCGCAGTCTCTGACCATAGTCCTGTACTACGCCCGCAGTCCGACCAGTCCTGTCTCAGACCATAGTACGCCCGCCTGACCATAGTCCTGTACTACGCCCGCAGTCTCAGACCATAGTCCTGTAGTACGCCTGCAGTCCCTGACCATAGTCCTGTACTAACTGCAGTAACCTCTAGAATCCAATCAGTGAGCGGTAATGATGTGCTGTAACCTCCAGCAACCAATCAGTGAGAATGAACCAGTTCTTTATGTTAGGTTTTTTGAGATAAATCTATGATTGTGCTTATTTGTTTTTTGGGATTTTGGGGTGGAGAGCTAAATTACATGGGGGGAGCCCAAGAGAATCTCTGACTCTGTTTAACCACATCCCCTTTAAACCACGCATTCCACCATTAGGCCATACCCATTGATGAATGCCCCACCCCTAATTAATATACTGCTTACCTACACTGTCTTTCTTGACATACAGGAAAAAAGTGTCCCTAAAAATGATTTTGAAATGTTGGTGACTAAGTGTATGGTAATGAATGTTGTGGTTTTAATATGAGTTGTAAAAACATGTCCATATACACACAACCAGAGCACTGGGTATTTTTATCAGGCTTATCTCTGTTAAACACATATGTTACAAAGAATGAATTGACGCCCCCCTATCAATCACTCTCTTCCTGTATGGGGGGTCCAGCCCCATGCTGGAGGGCCGATCTCAGACTACAACTCCCAGGAGGCTTAGCGCAGGAGTGCGCCTGACGTCATGACAGGGCGGCGGCGCGCTGCGTTGTGGGAGGGAGCGGCTCCACCATCATGGCGGCTTCCATTTCGGGTTATACGTTCAGTTCCTTGTGTTACCACAGCGCTAATAGTAACTCAGATCACGTAAGTGCGGGGAACCGGGGGGACGGGGCCCGGGGAGGGCGGCATGGGGGACCTGTCACTGGGGGAGGAAGAGGCCGGGGTGAGTGCTGGGCTGTGACAGGGAGCAGGGGGTCAGGGTGTGGCTGTCATCCTCCACTCTGACATCTCCTTGTGCCGGCTGTGATTCGGGGTGACCAGCACTGCTAGAGGGGGGCACAGAGCCTGAGAGGGGGAGGGGAAGAGGGCTGTCATTTCTCATAGGGATGTGTGGGCTGAGCACTGGGGTGTGGGACCATACTGGGGGGCAATGGGGGGATGTGGGGTCTGTGCTGTAGAGAAGGGGGGGCATGGTAACAGGGTATTTGGAGTCAGTTCTGTGGGGGTACATAGGGCTACAGTAGGGAGTACAAAGAGACTGGGTGACGGTAGGTGGATCTGGTGCCAGGTCTGTAGGAGGACATATGGTGACGGTAGGTGGATCTGGTGCCAGGTCTGTAGGAGGACACATGGTGACGGTAGGTGGATGTGGTGTCAGTTCTGTAGGAGGACATATGGTGACGGTAGGTGGATCTGGGCCAGGTCTGTAGGAGGACATATGGTGATGGTAGGTGGATCTGGTGCCAGGTCTGTAGGAGGACACATGGTGACGGTAGGTGGATCTGGTGCCAGGTCTGTAGGAGGACACATGGTGACGGTAGGAGGATCTGGTGTCAGTTCTGTAGGAGGACATATGGTGACGGTAGGTGGATCTGGTGTCAGTTCTGTAGGAGGACACATGGTGACGGTAGGCAGATTTGGTGTCAGGTCTGTAGGACACATGGTGACGGTAGGTGGATCTGGTGCCAGGTCTGTAGGAGGACACATGGTGACGGTAGGTGGATCTGGTGTCAGGTCTGTAGGAGGACACATGGTGACGGTAGGTGGATCTGGTGTCAGGTCTGTAGGAGGACACATGGTGACGGTAGGTGGATCTGGTGTCAGGTCTGTAGGAGGACACATGGTGACGGTAGGTGGATCTGGTGTCAGTTCTGTAGAGGACACATGGTGACAGTAGGTGGATCTGGTGTCATTTCTATAGGAGGACACATGGTGACAATAGGTGGATCTGGTGTCAGTTCTATAGGAGGACACATGGTGACAATAGGTGGATCTGGTGTCAGGTCTGTAGGAGGACACATGGTGGGTGGTGTCAGGTCTGTAGGGGACACATGGTGACGCTAGGTGGATCTAGTGTCAGTCTGTAGAAGGACACATGGTGACAGTAGGTGGATCTGGTGCCAGGTCTGTAGGAGGACACATGCTGACGGTAGGTGGATGTGGTGTCAGTTCTGTAGGAGGACATATGGTGACGGTAGGTGGATCTGGTGCCAGGTCTGTAGGAGGACATATGGTGACGGTAGGTGGATCTGGTGTCAGTTCTGTAGGAGGACACATGGTGACAGTAGGTGGATCTGGTGTCATTTCTGTAGGAGGACACATGGTGACAGTAGGTGGATCTGGTGTCAGTTCTGTAGGAGGACACATGGTGACGGTAGGTGGATCTGGTGCCAGGTCTGTAGGAGGACACATGGTGACGGTAGGGATGTGTTGTCAGTTCTGTAGGAGGACATATGGTGACGGTAGGTGGATCTGGTGCCAGGTCTGTATGGTGATGGACACATGGTGACGGTAGGTGGATCTGGTGTGTCTGTGCCAGGTCTGTAGGAGGACACATGGTGACGGTAGGAGGATCTGGTGTCAGTTCTGTAGGAGGACATATGGTGACGGTAGGTGGATCTGGTGTCAGTTCTGTAGGAGGACACATGGTGACGGTAGGCAGATTTGGTGTCAGGTCTGTAGAAGGACACATGGTGACGGTAGGTGGATCTGGTGCCAGGTCTGTAGGAGGACACATGGTGACGGTAGGTGGATCTGGTGTCAGGTCTGTAGGAGGACACATGGTGACGGTAGGTGGATCTGGTGTCAGTTCTGTAGGAGGACACATGGTGACAGTAGGTGGATCTGGTGTCATTTCTATAGGAGGACACATGGTGACAATAGGTGGATCTGGTGTCAGTTCTATAGGAGGACACATGGTGACAATAGGTGGATCTGGTGTCAGGTCTGTAGGAGGACACATGGTGGATCTGGTGTCAGGTCTGTAGGAGGACACATGGTGACGCTAGGTGGATCTAGTGTCAGTTCTGTAGAAGGACACATGGTGACAGTAGGTGGATCTGGTGTCATTTCTGTAGGAGGACACATGGTGACAGTAGGTGGATCTGGTGTCATTTCTGTAGGAGGACACATGGTGACGGTAGGTGGATCTGGTGCCAGGTCTGTAGGAGGACACATGGTGACGGTAGGTGGATCTGGTGTCAGGTCTGTAGGAGGACACATGGTGACGGTAGGTGGATCTGGTGTCACGTCTGTAGGAGGACACATGGTGACGGTAGGTGGATCTGGTGTCAGGTCTGTAGGAGGACACATGGTGACGGTAGGTGGATCTGGTGTCAGGTCTGTAGGAGGACACATGGTGACGGTAGGTGGATCTGGTGTCAGGTCTGTAGGAGGGCACATGGTGACGGTAGGTGGATCTGGTGTCAGGTCTGTAGGAGGACACATGGTGACGGTAGGTGGATCTGGTGTCAGGTCTGTAGGACAGTTTAGGGGGGGGTGACCTGAAGCACTCAGAATCTGGGGCAGCTGTACATGGTAGCCAATCAGCTTCTAATTTCAGCTTGTTTAATTTAAAGTGCTACTAAACCCACAACAGTAAAATCAGTCTGTATATGCAGTAAAGAATGCTTGTTATACTCACTGTGGAACCTAAGGGGTTAAGCCTCCGCATTATGTAAAAAGCCTGTTCGATCCTGTCTTCTCTGACCCTCTTCTTCCACAGTCCCCAATCCATCTGCTGATAGCACAGAGCCCTAGGTGACACTCTACACATGTTCAGTTTGGTGTGTATTGCTAAAGAGTTTTTTTTTTGGGGGGGGGGGGAGGGCGCTGAGGGTGCATGTTATACACACAGGGCTAATCAGCACTGTCCAGACAGAGGGTCAGGGGTCATGCAGCCTCATAGGACATTCAGAGGAGAATGAAAACTCCTACAAGCTTTAACCTGTGCTCAAATGGACACTGATAGAAGTCACAAGACTGCTCTAACTGCTGATGAGGAAAGGTATTTAGCAGTTTATATTTACTACAATAATTGCACTTCCATGTTCTGTGTACTGTGAGAGACCAGATATAGTGAATGGAGGGTCCGGAGAAACCAGGTATAGTGAATGCAGGGTCCGGGGAGACCAGATATAGTGAATGCAGGGTCCGGGGAGACCAGATATAGTGAATGCAGGGTCCGGGGAGACCAGATATAGTGAATGCAGGGTCCGGGGAGACCAGGTATAGTGAATGCAGGGTCCTGGGAGACCAGATATAGTGAATGCAGGGTCCGGGGAGACCAGATATAGTGAATGCAGGGTCCGGGGAGACCAGATATAGTGAATGCAGGGTCCGGGGAGACCAGATATAGTGAATGCAGGGTCCGGGGAGACCAGGTATAGTGAATGCAGGGTCCGGGGAGACCAGGTATAGTGAATGCAGGGTCCGGGGTTTTGTAACACTTAAGCTTTGGCAATAAAACCTTGAAGCTGATTGGTTTCCTACTACAGCAGTGACACTGATTTTTTCCACACTCAAGTTGTAGTAAATAACACCCGGGGTGTGCCTGTGGAACCAATATCCTTTTTTCCTGCTCAGTTGTTCTTTTAGTCATAAGGCTGGCCATACATTATACAATTTTCTTGAGAATTTAGATTTACCAAAAACCATTTAATGAGGTCAAACCTAAACAACACTTTCAACTGTATCCAGTTAGGCAGGCTTTTGCACTACATAGTTGAAGGTAAATCTCAAGGAAATTGGACAGAAAATTGTAAGAAAATTGTATAGTGTATGGCCAGCCTTAGTATAGACCTGTAGATGTATCGCACCTGATCCTTAGGCTGGCCATACATTATACAATCTTCTTGAGATTTTTGCTTTATATTTACCTAAACCATATAATAGGTGGTCAAACCTAATCAACACTTTCAATTGTATCCAATTAGGCAGGCCCTTGCACTACATGGTTGAAGGTAAATCTAAAGGAAATTGGGCAGAAATGGACAGAAAATTGTATAGTGTATGGGCAGCCTTACTTCTGTAAGTGCCCCAACTAATCCCTGCTGCTACTTATCTGAAGATGGTGTCACTGTTCCGGGTACCTGTACCAAATGTGCCTTTATTTTTAATGTGTTTACCCGATGGGAGTACTAAACTACATTTTACAGTGAGGGGGTTACTATGCTTCCCTTTACCTTTTACCAAGCTGCTGGATCCCAGTTCCTGCTTTCTTGCTCTGCTGATCTATTGATGGTGGTGGACCTGTCATTCATTACTGTCACTATACTGTATGGATACTGTTAATCTTTCTATGGTAATTTCCGGCTTGCAGGATGGGCCTTATTGGCTTCATGACACCCCCTGACCCGTTTGTGGGACTGCCACTGGGCCTTTTGGTTTTTGTTCTTTTTTTGGGACTCCAGCTCTCTGCGTTTGGGATGGATGAGCAGGGTGGGATTGGTGGGGGCAGGGTGGTTAGTTTTTTTTTTGACTCACAAATGTTGTGGATTTTTTTTTTTGTGTCTCACGAGTTCTCACTTCTGTGTCCTGCTACTAGTTCCTCAACTGAGATCACTCTGGTATGGTTTACTGCAGGGCTTAAAATTTCAAGTCCTGAGCTACTAGTCTGGCCTTAAGAGTTACTATCCACCAACAAACAGAGACACCTGTACACACACACACATACAGACACATGTATACACACACAGGCACGTACAGACACGCATACACACAGATACATGTACATACATACACAGACGCATGTACATACACACACACACAGAAACATGTACGTATACACAGACACATGTATGTACATACACACAAACACACATGTACACACACACACAGACACATGTACATGCATACACAGACAC